GAGTAATGGCCTCAAAATCAAGTCGAGTTTGTCGATTGCTTCTGAGTCGAGTCATCCCCATGTATTCAAAGCGATCTTTGGTAACTACTCCGACAACTAGTAGTACTGCTTTGCTTGTTCGAGAAGCAATTCGACAAGCTTTGGACGAAGAAATGACTCGTGACAGTCGAGTTTTTTTATTGGGCGAGGAAGTAGCACATTATGAAGGTGCCTACAAAGTAAGCTTCACGTAATGCGAGTTTTTGATAAAGGTATGAGTTTTAATTAAATGGAGATGTTTTCGTAACGAATTTTTACTTTGATTCAACTATTTTCGTTGCTTTGAATTCCACTCTTCGATAACCAACGAATTGAGCAGTGAGTTAACAATTATGTGATAAATTTTTTGAATAGCGGATTTATATTCCGCTCTGTTCAAATTTGATTTCTCATGCAATTATAAGATTGTGTATTACTACAGTGTTCAAAAGGTATTCTTCACAAATACGGCGAGAAACGTTGCATTGATACACCCATTTCTGAAATGGGCTTTGCTGGATTAGCGGTTGGGGCAGCTTTCTTGGGCCTTCGTCCAATCTGTGAAATGATGACTTTTAATTTCTCTATGCAATGCATTGATCATATCATTAACAGCGCTGCAAAAACTTATTATATGTCATCTGGTCGAGTGAGTTTTTGCTCTTAATGCGAGTCACGATGCCGTTTATAAAAATTTTATAATGTACTTATCCTGTTCGAACAGAACCAGAAAAAAGAAATTTAATCAGATCTCGTTGCAAAATAATTCAGAAGACTTGTCTTTAGGTTAATGTACCAGTTGTATTCCGTGGACCGAATGGACCAACGCCTGGTGTTGGTGCGCAGCATACACAAGATTATTCGTCGTGGTTTGCGTTTTGTCCCGGCTTAAAAGTTCGTTTATCATTTTGTAAAAAAAGCACGTATTTATCATGTAACTTTTTTAAACACAGTCTTTATTTACATTAAAACTCTGATTTTTGACTGCTTTTTACTCACATGGTTCTGCTACAAAGATTATTATTACGGAGATAAAAAATATAAAGTTACATACTATGGCGTGTTGTAGTGATTTCGGAATTTTCAATAAAGTCTTCACATTCATTTTCAGTATGGCTGCATAATGATAACTCTGCTTTACTAAATTTCAAAATATATTCTTTAAAAGAGATATTTCAGGTTGTCATCCCATATAATTCAGAAGATGCAAAAGGACTCTTAAAATCTGCAATTCGAGATGATAACCCAGGTTCTTAATTTGATTAATTTTGATATTATTATTTTGGACTGATATTTGTGGTATTGACTCTTTAATAAATTTGTAGTAGTGGTGCTGGAAGATGAAATTTTATACGGCCGGTCGTTTCCCGTGTCACCCCAAGTATTATCACCAGATTTTATAATTCCGATTGGAAAAGCGAAAATCGAAGTTCCGGGAAATGATGTCACCATTGTTTCTTACGGTAAAGCGATGACCCAGGCGTTTGATGGGGTTGAAAAGTTAGCCAAGGAAGGAATTAAAGCAGAGGTTCCTTGTTAGTATTTTTGAATGATGTAATTAAATGTGTTAAGAGTTAACCATCATATTCAAATGAATTTGCATGAAATTCTCCGTAAATGTGATACTCAAGTATTAATATGATTAAAGTTTGAACTTTAAAAAATAGTTGTTGCTTTTAGTTGATAAATTTGCGCACCTTACGTCCAATGGACATTGACTGCATCAAGAACTCAGTGAAGAAAACACACCATTTAGTAACCGTAGAAGTTGGATGGCCATTCTGTAACATTGGTGCCGAAATTAGTGCGCAGGTAAGATGAATTGCTGGACAAAATTTAGTGTCAAAAGATCCATGCATGCTAATAATAACAGCAGTTTTATTTTATTTCATTTTTCGAATAATTATTGTTAAATTTGGTGAGTAACTGTATTCGAAGCTGTTGTCAGTGAAATAAAATGATCAGAAACAATTCAAATTATTTTAAAATAACCTAAAACTAGCAGAGAACAGCTATATTCTATTTAGGAGTAATTATAAGAGTTATGAAGCCACTTACTTAAGTACTTTAGAATTCTTTATCAACTTACAGTAGCATCCATGACTATTTCTTTTTTCTCAGTTATTAGTGAAATCGAATTCATGATAGATAATTGTTGGCTTATTTTCAAATTTTGGGTGACTGAATCGGATGTGTTTGATACCTTAAAAGCACCAATCCAGCGTGTTACTGGTGTGGATATCCCAACTCCATACGCAGAAGCTGTGGAACCATATGCTTTTCCAACTGGGGATCATGTTGTTAAGGCAGCCAAGAAAAGCTTGAAACTGTGTTAAATTCATAAGTCTTGTGTACTAAATTCGAAAAACTGGAAAAAAGCGAATTTGGTACAGTGTACAATTTGGATTTTTGTTGTATGAGGTATATCTAATGCTAGTGTAAAAATAAAGTTAGTTAAATGTAATGGAGCTGTGATACTCTGTTATACATCATTCAATAAATTATCCTTCATTTGTTCTGTTTCTCTTTTCTGCACTTGATTTATAAAGTTGCTTTCCTGTTTTAGGAAAAGAAAAATGTGAGGTCAAATAGTTTCCCACAGCGTGAAAATTTAATACTTGACCTATACCCAGGTCAAGATGTCGAACTAATCTTAAAAGCAGGAAACAATGAATAATTTAGAAGAAATAATATTTTTTCTTCATCTTTATTTTCAAAATAAAGTTGAAGGAAGAGAAGATTCCAAAAATTCTTTACACTGGAGATGAATCCGTAATTTTACTCCTGTATTTAATGCAAAGAACAGAAATAAACCTACCAAGAAACTGAATACCTAGACATCAATATTAACTTTATTTTTACTTTCCTTGAAAAGGTTCTTTTTTTTCAGTAATTTTCAGTAATCCTGTATTCTTTACAGACTGATACAATACTTTTCAGGGGTTTAACTTTTCTTTTACAAATTGGAAGACCCAACTTTTTGTCAAGTACACTTTTATCAAAGTTTTTACTTGATATGATAAGGTAAATGCGTAAATCAGTTGCACATAAGGATTTGAAAGTACAGCAATTTTTTCTTCCACACTCGTATAGAGAGAAACTTTATGGTGTATAGTGTACTACTGCAAGAAAAAAAATTATTTCTCAGCACAAAAGATGCGGTCAAATACTGATGACAACTACATAATATTGACAAAATTACCATCTTATCATATTGGTGCTGACATTAGTATCTAATTATGATAAGTTTTTCCACTGCCGAAACTACCAATTATTACAAGGTAATAAGTAGGACGTAAGCTGTGACTGCATGCGAAAAATCTGTTGTTCGTCCATTTGGTAAGTGCAAATACGACGTAATTGGTTTTTGATATTAAAATAGAGAAATCGTAGTTTTGGATGAGAAATAATTATTAATATGAGATCTACCGGTATTGAAAGATCTAAAAAGTACAGTGAGAATAGTTATTGTTTTGATGTGATCTGTTTGCACTTCATCGAATCCAAATAATGATTAGTACATTTAACAAAGAAACACTTTCTTTACACATTTTGATCATCAAAAATACCTAAAAAAACCAAAATGCGGGACAATGTAAAAGTCATTATCCATAATAATCTCTAAAACATACATTTTAAAAATAGCCCTAAATATCAGAATTACGGAATCATCTGAATCTGTTTTAGAGCTTACAACAATTCTCAACTAACTCGATTTCAAAATTAGTAAATTATAAAATGCTAGATACAAGTGTGCTGAATTTTCAGAGTTCTTCCAATCGCTATTAAATTCAATTAATTCGTATAAAAAGAAGTCTTCATTTTCACTTTGCAATCAGTAAGGACAGCAAAAAGTGGACTCAAACCAGGGTTTGGTGAGCATTACGTAGAATAAAAACCAACATCAATAAAATCACACAAAGGCACAATTCAGAAAAAAGACAAGAAAGGCAATGGATGAAATGGAAACAAACTTTTATCTTTCATTCACGTCATTGATAGTGGGATCATTTTGGTATTTTCATTTTAAATCTTCCAAAAATGTCCAATCAGGCTAGAAAAAATTATAAATAGATCAGGGAGAAACATTTCTTAAACCACTAGTCTGCATGCAACATAATTCACTACAAAATTAATTTGCAGGTTTTTTTCGCTATTCAAATATGTGAAATATTTTGCCTTCAGTGAATTGTTTGGGGTTCGAAAAATGAGATGGTCTGACTAAAACAAAGTAAAATGAACTGATTTTTTATTTTTCCACACTTCATTGTGCTTTGAATAAAATAATCTTGCTGTATCGAAAAAATTTCCATGAATGTTTAGTATGCTAAAGAAAAACTACGCTTACAAGCACTTCATAATATAAATTAAAACGTTTTTGAGCACAAAACTATTATTTCACGCATGAATTAAACGAAACAAAGGAAATCATAAGAAATTACTGTTCAAGTTCGGGTTTCGGCTGCATTTTTCTGCGAATTTGCTCAGAGGACATTTGCAACACAGAGGTGAGATCACATACAAATCGATACACGTATCTTTTACCGGGCGTTTTATGAATGATATTTTTGTCATAGTAATATCTCAAACCACGGGAAAGCTTCTCATAATTCATCTGTAGAGCAAGATATAATCCCCTATGTGATAAATTCTCATAAAAACATTTTTTGATACAGTTTTTAAGTTATTGAAAAATAACCTTTGGCTTATTTTTACGAATGCCCCATTTACGAGCTACCTCGTCAGGGTCATTTAGTTTGAATTCCCATCCATCGCCAGTCCAAGCAATGCATGAATTTGTAGACTCAGTCATTAAAAGTTCCAATAAAAATTGCCACAGTTGTATCGGACCTGAGAAACATCAGATTCCTGTATCATATTTGTACATCCGCTAATGCAGATCTATTCACCAATGCTGCATAAAATAAATAAAACTATTTCAACAGTTAAAGTGTTATAAAATTTCAATAGTAAAAGTGCTAGAGAAATAAACTGTATTTAAAAAAGCAAGATCATTCTTACGTACAAATAAACAAAGTTCTAATAGAATCCATCTTTCTTTTCCCAATCAAATTTTTTTTAAAACAATTGATTTCGGTACCTCACCTGTAAAAATAACACAGCAAAAATTGAGAAAATTTCTCAAATCGGACAAAACTTTCGACAACTTCAATAACCTTAAACGATGAAAGGTATTACCCCGGTCTACAATGAAATTCAGCAAATCATGTGCCGTTACTGCTCATTAAATTTGTGAACCTATGCAAGAAAAACTTAAAGTAAATCATATTTATACCAGTAAGACCGGGCAATGTCAACGATGGTGGTTGACTGCATTCCACTTCTGTTTTAGAATTAGATGGAGATGACATGGACTCATTTGACGCTAAATGCTGCACATAACTGTGTAAAGCATGTCGTCCATACAGAGAGTATCTTTCTGAATTCCACTTATCATTTCTGTACTTCTGATCATGTTGAAGCTGATAATTATGATTGTGACAGTGATAATGATAACGATGAGTAAACTGGGTAATGATGGGATTACTATCACAGACATAATTGACAGTGGTTGGCAAATGTCTCGATAATGCTGCTTCTTTAGCTTCTGAAATTATTTAACTTTTACCGCATACTCTACACAATGCTAACAAAAACAATAATAATACTGCTAAAATCATTTTTTTCTGGCTCTTTCAGAAATATACGTTTAGATGTCTTAAAATATCTAAAAATTAAATGAAGTAATCACACAACATTTTTTCCTGAATATACAATATTATTTTAGAATGACGTAAAAATAAAGTTTTTCAAAAAAAAAAAATGAAATTTATTTATTATGAGAATTAAAACTGCTCCAAGACTTATATGATATACCTTTGCCAAGAAGTGGTAGATGATTGGAAATATTCAAATGACGTGGATCATTAAACTCAGCGTTGATCGTACTTACTGAAGGCATATTATTTAATTCATTGATACTGTTCTTTACAGACGATCCGAGCTCTGTAATTTTTAGATCCTGAATATCATGTAAAAAAATTGAATTTTCATATCAGTGTCCAGTTTGAGTATTTTGTGGAGAAAAATTCAGTGGTATAAATGGATAAAATAAGCATTTTGCTTTGGTAGCACTTTAAAGTAAGATTATGCAAATAACACAATAATTGTAATTGAGATAAATTACATGCAGATATATGTAGGTAACACTAAATGGCAAAATATGTCACTTATTAAGTGACATATTTTGCCATTTAGAGGTCTCAATTTTTCAGATTACCTTCTAGCTGTATATCACATGTGATCCAAAATGAAAATTATCATCATGAACAAAATGCCACATGATGAGAATTGTGTTGTACAGCAAGCAGATATTTTTACAATTAAAAGCTATGTTTCAGTGAGTGAGTATGTTGCTAAACTAAGAATTAGGATGAATAGCAGTAACTGAACCAAACCAGCTTGTTTTCAACTCCAGCAGAGCAAAATGATAGTTATCATTCATAACTATTACACAGTGATTTTTTTTTGTATTGCACACTCACAACGCTCATAAAATCCTTTCTTTGCAGAATACATCCCTCAATTATGTCCTTTTTCCTGTTAATTAATGAAAATCTAGTTAAAGACTCGTTTTCATGATTTCCTGTTTCTTTTAGCATTTTCACTTCTAAAATGATCTTGCAGAAGAGAATAAGCAATGTACTCTCTCTATTTGACATAATTTAGAAATAAAATATTGAGAAGAAAATTATTTTAAATACAAAGAAATTTGGAACAAAAGAAAAAGTCACTTCAATCTGTCAATGATTTTTTCGTGGAATTTAATAGATACCAAATAGTAATGCAGTAGTGATCATGATAGTTACAAATATTGTGCTCGTTCTATTTCGTTGAATAAACAGATCCAGATATACAGATAAATAATTAATAAATAATAAACAAAATAGGAAGGCCCTCATGCCAAACACGCTTGTTATTCGAAATGCTTTCATTTTGCATTTATTATTCCAAGCCGACAATTCATTTTCAAGGTTTTCATCCTTTTTTCTTTTATTCAGTGTCCATTTTTAATAATATTTCTAAGAGACAAGTCTTTTATTTTCTTAGAAATTTTTAGCAGTGGGACACGTTGCTTAGCATGGAAAACTAATAGTCATAATAACCATCCTTCTTTGCAGCACTGACTGACTGAGGTCATCTGGGAATCATATTAAACTAACATTTATCATTACTATTTGTAGCGAAAATTTCAAACATACATGCTGTTATTGCCATCATGAATGCCAACAGTTTCATTCATTTAACACAATCATCATTCCAGTTCCGCATTCACTTTATGGCTAGGAAAAAAATTCACAACTGATTTTGGAAGTCGATTTATTAACTTTGTTGATTTTTTCTCATCAATTAAAAAGTATTTAATAACAGAAACAGTCAACTTTTGTCTCACAGTGATTATTGCTGTATTTTTTACATCTTTCTTAGTTCCTTTTCTTCGTTCCTACTGACTTTTCAACTTTTGCTAAGTTCTCATTCACAACAATGGACTGAAATATCAAGTATTCTTACTTATCTTTAATCCTCAAATCATATTTTTCATTAATTTTTTTAAAGTGTTCATTAACTTAGCTTTCTTATAAATACTTTAAAGACATAAAAAAGTGTAAAGCCCGATATCTCTTTGAACTAATTAATAACCGTTCTGAATTTTGAAAATTCATTCAAGTCAAAATGAAAAACTTCAAATACTAATAGTTTTAAATTTACTGGTAATCAAAAAAAGCGATACAGGTGCGTAAGAAAAGAATGTGGATTCACCTACCAAAATGATACTCTGTTGCACGATTTTCATTGCTTTCTATTCCTGATTCACGTTTTTGGTAGCACAAAAGTGCATTTGATGCAAAAAATGAAGAATGGCTAGATAATTGTGAATGCATCGTGAAATCCTTATTGAAAATTAGCTCTTGAGTGATATTTCGGATATTTCGTTTGACGTATAGGAGTCTGAAGTCACGTTCAGTTATACTTTTACTTAGACCAAAATCACAGAGTTAAGCAAATTAATTCTACATTTTTATCGCACTTTACTGCTTCCAAAGCAGTAAACAAAATATTTCAATTCTCACTCCTAATTCTTTGACCAACTGTTTGTAAATTACTAGTTACCAGAGTTTTATTTTGTGAGATTCGATCAAAAAATTTCAAAAATTGTACTTAATAATGATAAGATAGTTTAATGACAGTTTTCTAACGCTAAAAATGTTGTTTAATTTTTTTTGTTCGAAATTTTCTTAGATATTTTTCTATGAATAAATATATTTTCAGTGTAACTCATTTCTGTAACTATACGTAGTCAGGATGTATTTGTTTTAAGTTATTTAAAGTAAGCGGTTCATATTTAAATATCTAACTTTTTGTGACTTTCTGGAAAAGTAAATGTTTCCTTTTCTTGTTATTTTTGATTTGTAGTCGCAAATTCATGTGTAGAGCGGTACAAACCATAAAAACAGTAACATTTGGAATCAAAACTAGGATTATGAGCCATGCCAAACAATAATACTTGCTTGATTAACGTCTGAACTATGTATTTGGCGTTTAAACTATGTATTTTGGCTTTTGAGAAAGCTTTTTTTCTTCAAAAGAATAATCTTCTGAATTTGGAAAACCGAATTTCCAAGAAAAATGGTCCAAAAACAGTTTTCAGAATCAAAATTTACCCTTATGCCTAAGTAAATATGGGATCGCTTAATTCTCCAGTAAAATATCAGGATATGCTTTGAGTAGAAATTTCAAAATAAAAGGAAGGAGCACTTTATAAATTTTGGTCGCTCATGGCTTCTACAGTAAGAGATTAGAATAAAGCTAAACGATATCCCCATTTGGATATTTTGTTTAAAATGTTATCAGTTGGAATAAAATGGGTCAAGAACGGGTCAAAAGCAGATTAGTGGAACTTTTTCTAACGCTTTTAAAATGAATTTATTGAAAACTGTATGGATAGTACTTGCAGTTTTTTGAATTTATTGATTGGCAAGAAAACTGTTAGAAAAACTATAAAATATGTTGCCAGTGATATAATTAACTGCGTCATTTCAAATTATGAATATTTTACTGGAAATAAGAAAAGTATGATCCAATAGACTCAATCAGTAGAAGTTTCAGTGATGAAATAACGCATTTATTTCCAAGTGCTAGTGAAGGTTTCATGACTTTGATCAGTTCTCTTAAAAGAAATTCACTGAAAAGTGTTTCTGCTGCAAGGAAGAAAATTGATCGAAAAAAATGAATGAATGAATGAATGAATGAGAGAAAAAATGAATTATGATGCAAAGTCGTTATTATTTACTTACCCATTGAAAGTATATTTCAAATTTTTCTTCAAACAGCAGTAAACCTGACGCCTCATCAGCTAAAGTATTTTATTATTAACAATGACAATGAAAAACGTATATTTACAAACTGAATTTCAATATTCGATAAAATGTTGCTTTGTATTTAATATGACATGTCATAGCTCAAACATAGTACCACTTTCTCGTCTGTCTAATAAAAAGTTAGTGATGATTTCTCTACATCAAAATTTAGTGATAATATTGAATAAAAGTGGAATTCCTGGAAAATTTTTCAGGCATTTAAAGAGCATGCAGTTTTAATGTAAATATTTTGACTGAAGCACGCTTGAAATTTCGTAATTAATTTCTTCTGCTAAACATAATATAAAGATTTGAAACTGTACTGAAATCAAAAGTTATTTGCATGATTTGAAAATTTGAGTTGATTGAACTAGAATTCGTAGATTTATTTAACTAGGACTCGTAGATTTATTCGATAATTAGAGTATCCCCTCGAGTTCATGAAAATGAATTACATTGTTACACTAAACAATAACGTAGAAACCTTAAAGTACTTGCAGCATAAAAAATCATACCATTTTTAAAATCAGCACAGTAAAATTGAACGTGCAATTTATGTCAACTAAACTTATAATACTTCACCCATAAATCGATGTTCACTATTTGCAGTCTCTCGTCTGTAAATAAATATGCAAAATTTTTGTTACGAGATATTAGCTAGAATCATTTGAAACTTTTTTCAAACACTACTGCTTCTTACTATATAATTTAATTTTGAAATGTATAAATTTTATAATCAGTTAATTTACAAAACCATGTGTCTGATTATCTTGTAACTTAATGAGTTAAATTTTGAATAATTTTTTTTTTATTTACGACAACTTGCAGTGCATTTATTTGATACTTTTTTGAATATTCTCGAGACTTAATTTCTTTAGGTACTGACTTAACCCCGTAGTGTTTCATTTATATTTCTTTAGTTACGATACGGCATACTGAGCTGCCTATACATGCAGCAGTAATCAGTAAGGTTAGCTTATTAGCCATGAAACTCTAAATGTTGTTTTTCGAAACACTGAAAGTAGAATGAATAATTACTATGAATTATTTTGCAATACTATGTTAAGTAGCTTAATCATATTCAACAATAGATCTCTTACTTTATCATACCATCAGGATAAAATATCTAATTATTTCTAATTACATTTGCGGGATGGATG